TGCCATTAGGTTGTGTTACTTTTGGGTCAATGTGGGTTTGGATCCTTGATCTTGAGGTGGAAAACTCCATGAATCTATTAACAATCTCCTGAGCCATCAAATCCCACCTCTTAGGGGATTATTCACATTCCAGAACTCAAAATAATCTCGGTTTTGGAAACATACTGATATCCTCTGCTGAATGGCTCCACTCCTCTGTTCTTTTTCCCTTCTCGTGACGCTCACTTTGAAGTGAATAGTGCAAAGCAGCACTTGAGGCAGTGAAAAGAGGACCCCATAACCTAGAGTGCTTACTACACCCACAAAAACCCCTTTCCTTTTTATTGCCCCAAATCCATAAAGACTGCTTTTCAAAGGGAGGTAGTAAAAGTACCACGCTTCAGCAGGTTCCAATTAAAGAAGGCCTAATCCAAAGCGCATTGAAGTTAATAAGAGCTTTGTGTCTCTTTGCTGTTGGGGCTTGGACCAGACATCAGTGTCAGCAATGGTATCTGTAACACGTGCGGACATTCGAAAGCAGTCACTGCTGCAGGGGTGCCGGGCGTCTTCCGGCGCCATTATCAGCTCAGCTGATCATTCGGCTCTCCCCGGCAGCTTCAAAGGGAAATTGCCAATTCGTCTTTTTTCGCAGCTAAAACGCTAGGTTCGGGAGTGAATTCTGCTAAAACGCGTTCTTTTTTTTTAATCTGGAAAGATATCTTGAAAGATTATTTCCGTTTCCGGCAAATGTTCCTTTTTCTCAGGAAATCAGTTACAAAAGACACTGTATTCAGGCCAAAAAAAAGCCAAATCACTGGATTTACTTCTAGGTCTATTTATCAGGTGACAGAAAGGCACCTTGAAAGTCAAAATTATTCTCATTTAGTGAAATCTGGACAAAGCTTTTGAATATTAATTGTAAATACACAAAGCTTTTAGGAACTGCCTTTCCAGCCCTAATTTCACCGTGCCTTGACATTGGTCTATGGCTACAGAGAATATGGAAGCTTATAAACAGATTAGTTCCCAGAGACTGTTTTTATTTCCGGTAAGAAATAAAATTGGCAGCATGACCACATTTAGCATCAGCTGAGCGTGCCTTTCACGTTCTTTGAATATAATACGACTATGTTTATTTTTTTTCCAGCCTTTTGAAAAATGTTTTATTCCCTAGATCAATGACTCTCATAACATATGACTCAAAATGGAAATTTCCCTCGCATCATCTAGGAGAAGCGTCTCAAAGATGACTGCATTTTCATTTTACTCTACACTCCAGACACTGTTCAATGCAGCGAAAAGCCTCCTTGACATGGCTCTGCCCTGAGGAGATACGTCCTTTGTGATCTATTGCTATGCTAAGAGTCCACCCGCACTTGCAGTGTAGAAAACAGCTTTTATAAAGCCTGCTTACCACTTAGGAGGGTTAAATGGGATCTCAGAGTCTCCTTTACAGACCAAGGACCAGAAGTTAAGCCATTCTTTTCAGCGGAAGGGTTGCCACCTCTACGCTTTCCTCTCTCAGGCCTCCGCAACACTGACACAAGTCAGTAGATACCCATAATACCATTTTCACTAGACAGGCTTTTTCAACATCAATTAAGAAACCCAAACACATCAGAGAACCTTTGCTGCTGGCTAAACTTTGCCCTGAGCCCACGCACCAGCCCAAAGCCTGGAGTGGCCATGCCACTCACTGCAAGCGATGAGCTGTGGAAGAGGGATGAATCCTGGCTGGGGGGCTGCCCCGGCTGTCTGCCTGCCCCATGCACCAGTCCTGGGGGCACAGGAGCCCCTGTGCAAGCCCCCTGCCGTCACCCACTCTAGCGGCACAAGGGAGTTGAGGCGAAGGGAGAAATGGGGAAATGTGCTCACTGAGTTGCCTCACTCCTGAACAATACTCAAGTTGCAGGCTTGTCTGTGAGTGAGATTTAAATAAATAACATTTGCTCCCAAATTAGCAAGAGAAGAATAAACACTTTAAGACCTTTTGGCTGTCCTAAGAGAGAATGAGAGGCCTTGCTATACATGTGAAGAATTAAATTGTCTTAATTGCATCCTTGTGCAAAATAAAGCATTACATACAGAAGAAAAATATTTTTAAGTGGATGGAAAAATCCACTGTGTTAAAGGAATACTACTGTCAAGTTAAATGTGTCCCTGCTTTTGTGTGGTGCAAAAACAAGCTTTAATATAACTGAAGAGTCTAATAGGAACATTTCCATGAATTTAAAAATAACAGCATGGAAACAGTCTCATAAAATAAGTAAACCTCTCCCTTCAATATTTGCAACTCAAGTATTAGAGTATTAATTTAGGGGCTGGGAATGTGGAAGTAACTATAAATCATGAATTAAGTGCTTTGTTCTACAATACGGGAGGCCAGGTTTTAAATTCCTTGTCTAGCCAGGGATCCTGTCATTTCGGTACCGCTGCCGGCATGCAGAATGTAGCCCACCTAAAGCCCAGTACAAAGACTATGGAGAAATTACCTGGTAAGACAGTCACCCATCAAGTTTCCAGTGGCCCACAGTAGATACGCAGGAGACCTGGCTTGCAAGGAAGGCTTCTTTGGGATGAGACTTCATACCTACTCCAGCCTGTTTGCTTAATCACCGCAAATGCTTTAAGTGTATTAGTTATGGATAACCTGACTTTGGTCGCAGGTTCACACAGATTCACAGAGTGGAAGGGGTTGGAAGGGACCTCTAGAGATCACCTAGTCCAATCCCCCTGCCTAGAGCAGGGTCACCTAGAGTAGATCACACAGGAACAAGTCCAGGCGGCTTTTGAAAGTTTCCAGGGAAGGAGACTCCACCACCTCTCTGGGCAGCCTGTTCCAGTGCTCTGTCACCCTTACAGTGAAGAAGGATTTCCTCAGGTTCAGGCTGAACCTTCTGTTTTCCAGTTTATGGCCACTGTCCTTAAATGAAGAACATGAAGTACAAAGTTCACCCAAAGAAGAAGGCACCAGGGCCCCATGCGTGTGTCCATTACGCTGCTCTATTGGCCAGACTGGGTGCCTTCCCAGAGCACTGCCTTCAGGCTGGGATAACTGGGGATGACTCCCTTGGAGACCAGTCTGATCCATGTAAGCTCAGAACAAGGTACTTACGTTTATGTGACCAAACATACATGTCCAAACTGCTGCCAGGGACACTGCTTTGCCCTCTTCCCTAACATGGAGACCATGCTCCTGCTCATCTCACTGGCAGAATCGCTTCAGTGTCCTCATCACACTCCCTGAGCTGGGCCATGCTCATCTGAATTTGCCAAATGCCTATTCACCTGCTCTAAGATGGCTTTCAACCAAAAAGGAATATGCTGGCATTAAAGCTTCATGATACAGAAAAATAAATAAACCCCAAGGCCTGAACCAATTTACATTGTTTAGCTGGGACTTGTTGATAGACTTAAACCCTGTAAGTATCCATAGTAGGCTATGATTAGTTAAGATCTGAGTGAGGTATAACAGGCTCATGATTTACTCAAGGTCAGAACTGTATACAGAAGATGAAAACCAAAATACCACCAGATTTCTTCGGGACCTGTACGAGCTGATCCCGCCAAGATACGTTTTCTGTTTCCATGCTTCTGAAAAACAAGGCAGACAGGGTGTCCTTAAAATCTCTTTGGTTTTCCTAATCTCCCAGATGTCTTCCAAAATCTGGGTATAGCCAGAATTAAAAAAAAAACCAACACACCAACAAAAAAGGCAGTAAAGTTCATTCATGCCCCAATAAAGACTTCTGACAAGGCTGTTAAGCTGTTAAATTATACGGGGCAGGATGGGAAGTTACTTGGCCAAGATTCTGTTGATGAAAAAGTCTACCAGAACGTGCTCATAAATAGACCTGGGAACCCTGCATCCAAACTTTGGTCCTCATTTACTGTACAGCAAACTGCCCAGGGAGAATGAAAATGTATTCTGCCTCTTATCATCAGGGCTCAGAGAGCAGCTGGTCACTTCCATTGCCTCTGGACGCGTACCCTGTTGACTGATCCCCACTTCGCTGTCCGCAAAAACCTCAGTGCTTTCTTCCAGCAGTAAGAATAACTCCTTGACAGGAGGGAAGGAGGAGAAAAGCCCAAGATTTACCGTTCTTCTGGATAAAATCTAATGATCACTGGTGTACAGTTACAGCTGGCAAAGAACTAGGAGTGTCGAAGGTGCCCCTGTTAGGTGCAGAAAAGCTGGTAGAAAGCAAACGAGGCTGGCAGGTGGCATGAGCTGGAAGGAGAGCAGTGGGCATGAACTGGAAGAGCAGTTCATTCTTGCCCAGGAAGGACCTGCAAGCTTCAGTACCCCGTTGGGCATGCGGTGGTCAGAAAACGGTGCCTGTGACACTCGACCTAAGAGGAAAACTTCTGCGAAACAAGACTGCGTGGATCCAGAGCATCAAGACTCAGCGGGCACCAGGTTGTCTCCCAGTTTATCAGCAGAGACAGACATGGACAACTTAGATGTTGTCTCTTTTTTAAGTTCCCTTCTTGCTCTGTTTGTCGTCTCCTGCCTATCCTGCCGTCAGTTTTCTACTGTGTGACTTGCTGAGAACTCCCCACCCGTGCTAAGCTAAGCGACAGCACACGGGCACGGTGCCTGTCTCCCAGCAGAAACACATTAAATAATGATAGGAGAAACCCTCACAGGCACACTAGGTTCCTGTTACTTACACTCAGGGCCAGTTTCAAAGGCAGACTAAGGTGGCAGCTATCTATCCCAGCAAGAAACTGTATGTGCTAAAACTTTTATGAATGTGAAATTAGCCACCTGCAATAACTGTTGTAAAATTGTTAAATTAGTAACAGTGATTATTCTCATTTCTTGCTGGGATATTGGGGAACTAGCATGGAACAGCAGTAAAAAAGGCTCCTACATAGTCCAGAAAATTGGTTAAACCAAGTGTTGTTCCCGCAATGAAACCAGAAACCTTGCTGAACTCACTGCAGGGCCTCCTGCTTGCAAGGACTTTTAAGTGTCACCCTATATCCCCACTGGAATAGTACAAAAGCGTATCCATTTTTTTAATGCCTGCTAAAAATTAATCTGGCATGAAAAGAATTACAAGTCACAAGATGCCACAGAAAACTGGAATGTTTAAGCTTAGTAAAACCCCAGTTCCCAACCCCATTTTTTCCAGTTTGAGGCGTCCAATCTTCCACATACATTTCAATGAATGCTCTTTAATTAATTTAATGAAGTACTTGAAAGCTCCCAAGCAATAGTAAGGCTTTACTCAAGCATGTACTGTATCACAGAAGGATCCACTTCTTCTGCCATCAGCCCGGCTTGCAGGCTTCGGATCGTTGCTTTTTTCCCCAAACGCCGTCTCCACAGGACCAAGGCAGCCACGATCTGTGACTGCAGGTTGTGAGGGTGATTGACTTTACATCGATAGATGTCAGTATGGGACAAACCCAAGCACAGAACTATATGCTCCCATTCGGGTCCCAGTCTCCTCGCAAGCCTGTTCAGCTGCTGATCTGTCGGTGAAGCCTTCAAAATACAGGGTGCGATTTCAGTTGTGTCTGTAAAAAAGGAAAAAGGAAATGCATGCACACATCACCAGGCTACACTGCAAATATTCATGGAAGACCTTCACAAAGGAGGGAATAAGCAAACCTGAGATGAAAGAATTAATTAAAGAAACAGAATACATACTCGCCTAGAAAAATTAATTACATAATCAACCAGAACATTAATTAGAGGAAAACTAATGCTCAGTGGACCATACTAGGGAGCCTTGTGGTTTTATAATCCAGATATCAGAATTCTATTCCAAAGCCAAGACTTCCAAAAGCAATTACAGGTTTTGGGATAATGAACAAGAAAGGTTTTCAAGGAACATGCTTCCAGCAGCCATCACCCTCTAAAAATCATTCTGCTTGCACCAGTATGATATAGTGACAAATGACAAATATGGGACCAATAATACCTTATTACTCCTATTCCGTGACTGTTTACACACTTCAGAAATAACCCTGATTCCTCAGTTACTAGGTGTTACTCTATTTGCTGAGGGCTGATCACAGGAAATTCTTCTGTCTCCTACGATGCTACTTACCCTTTGTTCCCCATCATATATCATACAATCACAAAACGGTTTGGGTTGGAAGGGACCTTAAAGACCATCCAGTTCCAACCCCCCTGCCATGGGCAGGGACACCTTCCACTAGACCAGGTTGCTCAACGCCTCATCCAGCCTGGCCTTGGACACTTCCAGGGATGGGGCATCCACAGCTTCTCTGAGCACCCTGTTCCAGTGCCTCACCACCCTCTCTGGGAAGAACTTCTTCCTGATATCTAATCTAAATTTATATGCCAAACTGGTCTTGAGGAGAACAGCCTGGGGAACTTTTCTTCTATTTGAATGAACCCATAAGCATGGTTCAGGTGAACCCAAATGAACAGGGATCAACACCATTGCCCAACACAAATTATGCTTCCTTATCCCTCATCCCAGTTGCAGCAACACTCCTGAAAACAGGCATGTATGTGCTACAGCCCCATTCATCTGGCCTTGAAGATGTTTTCAGGAGAGTACAAGGAAGTCCTATCCTCTCTCAGAGATTCTGCCCTATGTCCCTTAGCACTGCCCATGTACCCACCATGTCCAGAACACACTCCTCATCTGAGAAGATGTTTAGGACCAAGCTGCTAAGTGAGTCAAGGAGGACAGGATCGATACAACTACCAAAACAGCTTTCACAGGAAGCATTAAGGTAGCTGTAATTACCAGCGGTAAAAATCTCTCAGGGGCTGAACTGATTATTTTCTACAATCACAAGTGATCTCTTTGTGTATTCCCTATGGTAAACTGATCATTTAAAAAAAACCAAAAAAGCATTAACACAAACAGTGTTAATAGCAGAGTGAGAACACAGTGCTATTTAGAAAATTGCTGTATAGGATCCATCTCACCTAACTACAGATCACCCCTCCTGAACTAATTATACTAGGATTAATTACCGCTAAGGAGAGAAAGAGGCTCTTCTAGAACGCAGTCCATCTCACTAAGAAGATGTCTAAAATAATCAGATTAATTACTCCTTAAACGTGCACATTTCTCTCCACTGACTGTAAAAGGAGCGCTGGGTATAAGCTCAGATGTTGACATCGATGCTGTAAACACCCAGTGCTGGTGAAACGATTCTCTGCCTGTAAATTCAAACCACATACCAGTCGCTATAAAAAGGTGTCTTTAGAAAAGCAGCAGAAGACAACTATAAAGTATATTTGGTCTTCAATACCCTTGGCAATCACAAGCCGAAATGAGGGGTCAATGCAGCCTGCAACTGCTGTTCTACTTTTGTTGCTGAAGATACTGCGTCAAAACAGAGCAAAAATATCCCCAAGAAAATGCTAATTATAGCCTGTCGGTCAGAAGCAGCAGACTCCCTACAGAAGAGCCACTTTGCAAAATCTAATTTATAGCTCCAATATCATGCTCGCAGTCTCCACTAACAGCAACACTAGAAAGCACCACTCCTTCGTTTTACCAAAAGTAATTGTTTTTGCATAGAATACCCAGAGCCTGCCAACGTTTGTACAATTTAAGCCCAATCATACATAAGTACCATACAAAGCTGCTTTGAGTAAAGGGAAAATTGCTTTCTAAAGAGTATTTAGGTCCCTTTGATCTTTCTGTTTCCAGATTGCCAAAGGAACCCAGGGCAAGTGGCTGGCTCGGGGTAGGGCAGAGGATGCACGGCTCCTGACGAAGGCTGAGCAATACTGGTGGGGCTGCCCTACGCCATCCATCACAGCTCCATAGGTGATACCAGCTCCATAGGTGAGTCAGGATGAGGCAGTGCCTTTCATGAATGCAAATATTTGAGAATAACTAAAATTTAAAATAAATGCAGCTACACCGTGCTGTCGCCAAAGCTACTTTTTGATATTAAACCCTCACATTGGCTGATGGTCAGCTGCTAAGCATAAAGCTGTGTGCCCAAGGCAGCGCTACCTGCCAGCCTGGGCTTTTTGCTCTCACACCAGAATTTTTATACTCTATGTTCACTAGCATAATGACTTTATGATACTGATATGTGATCAAGCGGGGAGGCCGAAGAATAATACATGTCAGCTTGTCCATCCAGCCTTTGATATGAGGCAGATTTTTTTACTACAACAAGTATCTTGCCTTCAGCCTGTTATCAGCCCTTTAATAAGAATAAGAATAAAACCCATCCAGGAAATCTTTTCATCTTACGCTACCATCTGATTCTAATATGGATGTGGAAAATTCTGGGACAGAAGCCAAATGTTAAATTTAATACAAAGGACTGTTATTTTAGTCCAATTTTATTTTCTGTGATAGCTCTTTTTCAGTTCTGATACAAAGTTGCTGAGGAAAATCTGAGACAAGTATTACACGATGGGCAATATTATTTAGAGGTATAGAAAAATATTTAGTGAGATCTTTTAGTTATGACAAATGCAAAATCACAAAAAGATTTGGATATGTTCTAGGATTAATGCCACTCAATTTAATAAACATAATGGCATTTCAGGTAAAAGGGAAATGAGTTTTCTGCGCTCAGCAACTGAGCTGCTTTGAACTCACTGCAAAAACATTAAAGATGCATTGTTTTAGTTATGTTTACTACAGAACCTCACTTATAATCTCCATTTGTCATGAACTGCCTGAGGGAGGTAATGAGTTTAGAGCAAAAATTTCAATTATGTAGATCCTGCAGTTGCATTTGAAAGGTTACTCAGACCTCAGTTTTGCCAAAAATGTAAAACTCTTCTTGCTTTAGGTGGATCTTACATGGAGGTGTACATGCTTATGGTAGGTACATGCTTCAGCTTAGCAAAACAAGGATTGCACTGTCAGAAACATGTAGAAGCAGGGCTTGGGGCACCACCGGACAGTGTTGAGGGTTTCTCTAGAAAAGGCGATTTGCGTCGTCGTCACCTCCAGTAAGCACACCGAGCGAAACACCATGTCCAGCTGTGGACACGGTCTGTGATCAGAGATTTGGAGGCCGAAGTCTCGCTGTTCACCCTGAAGCCACTAAGACCCTGAGGAATGGGGGGCTGACAACTGTGTGATGGGGAGCAAGCCAGCCTGGTGGAGAGCCGCTCTCCTGGGACTGCTGGCCAGCTTGCTGGCACAGTGGTTGGGACCCTGAAAATCCCCTTTCTCTGGGCTGGAGGGAGGGAGGACACTCTCCACCCTGGTATTGGAGCTGAAACCAACCCAGAGAAAGACCCGCAGCTCCTATTCAAAGTTGCAGCATAAGTGAATGCACTTCTCCCAGTCTCCAGATCTAGCTGGTCAAGGAAGCTCATCCACCCTAAGTCTTTATCCTAGCTGTCCCAGTTAAAAAACAGGAGATGTTGACAACTTCTGGCCTGCGTGTACATCTGTGCTTCCAGACCACTGCACAGACTGGGAGATGCGATGGTGCTGGTGAGTGTGGACAGGAAACAGAGCTGAATATAAATAGACAGTATCACAGCTACCTACCAGACAAAGCAGAGTAACTCAGATACCAAAGCTACATATGAGGCAAAGGCAGCTGGTCACCACTTCTGCATCTTTTTCTCCAGGACCTCTCCAGCTTTAAGTAGCAGCCTCCAAGAAGAAATTGCAATGATCAGGGGGATGGAAAAAACCTCATCCCAGCTCTGTCCTGCTTGGCACCAGTGGGAGGATGCAAGATAAAGTCCAGTGAAAATGGACTTTGAATCACTTAAAAGACTTTTTTTTTTTTGCTTGTGCTTTCTCATCACCAACTCTAGGCGATGAAAAAAGCTAAGGTCATCTCTTAGGCTGTCTTGCACCAAGGGAAAATCTTTATCAGCATTGAGGAATTGCCTTCTCATTCTCCATGCTGCTGGAACGCAGTGGGGAGCAAGCGAGCTTGGCTCCAACACAGGACACAGCAGCGAGAAGTGCTGAGGCATTTTTGGGTGATCTGCAAAGTACCCAGCTTATTCCTCAGAACTGCCGGGTGCCCAAAGTGTCATATGGTTTTGTCTAGGGGACCCTTCTCCACGTAAGTATGACTCTGTGCACAACCAAAAGCACCTGTTGGGGTTTCAGGGAGCCTTCTCCCTTAGGCAGTAAATACATTTTTACATGATGCAACTCAAAACCAATGTTTGACTTTTGCTCTTTGCTGTGTAAAGGGGACTTGGATGGAAATTATGTACCTGAATCCAGAGCGCTGAAGAAGTCTCTATCAGTGGCTGCCTACTCCTGCAAGAATAACTCCACAAGCAGTTCAGGAGACAGTTGGGGAGCCAAGGATACAGTGGCTGACTTCTTATCTAATAACTACCTAATAAATCCATCCCTTGGGAAAGGATATTCTGGGAACTAGTCTCTGCTTCCAGTGCTGCCTCTGTATCTTATCCATTTAAATGACCATGTACATATTCATTGGATAAGAAGACAGAAGCAGCGCTGGAAGAGAAGATGGGAATCCACGTGTCTCTGAGCTGCACATCCTAATGCAGAGGTGCACAACAATGCTCCTCTTCATTCCCTTTCTCCTAATAAATAATTCCAGAAAAA